ATTGTTTAAAAGCATCAGTGTCTATATAAGACAGAGTCTGGGAAGCTATTCCAGAATAAAGGAGACTAAAGAGACGTGACAACTAAAGGCACTCTGTGATCCTGGACTGCATCCTGTTCAGAGGAATAAAATGCTCTAAAGGACATTTTTTAGTTAGTTGACAAAACTGGAATATTGGCATAGCATCAATGTTAAATGTTTTGAATTTTGCAATTGTACCAGGGAAGAGAATATGCTTATTATTCTTTGGAAATATATACTGAACTATAAAGGGGAAAAGGACATGATCTATGTAGCTTACTCCAACATGATTCAGAAAAAAAAAAAAGAAAAAGAAAAAAATGAAAACACACAACTTGTACCTACATAGAGAAAGAGAAAGGGAAGAAGAGAGAATGGACCAAGATATGTGGGGATTCTCTATATTATTCCTATAACTTTTCTCTAAGTCAATGAAATTCTTTCAAAATAAAAATTTGAAAAGAAAACTTTTTTCTTCTAAATGAAGCCCAGCAAAACTCATAGGTTGCAAGTAGTCCCTTTTAAGGGACAAACTCTTGCTAGTCCTGGGAGAAGCTCAGTGTATAGTGTGAAGGACGCAAGGTGCTAAGAGACCTGATCTTGGTGGAGTGATGGGGCGGGAAGGGTGGGAATCAGGAAGAGTTTCCCCAAGGAATTAACCTGGAGCCAAGACCTCAAACTTAAGCAGCAGTCAGGTAGGAGAAGCCGGCAGGAAAGGCACGCCTGGTGGAGGAGACCGTGTGCAGACAGGCTGGAGGTAAGAGACGAAAGTCAGGCAGAGTCGCCAGGTACGGGCAGCCAAGTCTGGCCTCTAGCCTGAGAGGCAGGTTGGTTTCCAGACTGGGAAGTGCATCAGAACTTGACTTTAAGGTGAGCCTTAATTGCTTTTGCCACAGGCTGCTCCTGTCTTCATCTCTCCCAGACACCATCCAGCCAGCTTTCCAGCCCGTTTTCCTAGAGTAGGGTTGTTAGGGCCACACTTCTCCATGGCTGTCTTCTGCCATTTGGTAGGAAATGGGCCTTTTGCTGCTCTCTGTGAGCGGTCTTCCTTTGCTGGCTGAGGGCTGGTCTCTCTGTTCCGCCTCTTATTAGCGTGATTATCTTCTTGAGTCCTCAGCTGCCCGAGGCCCTTCGGTTTTCTGCCAAGCCATCACCATGTCATCCCTCTGAGTTAAAGGAAGGTTCCCAAGACCAGGGTCAGCAGTGCAAATAGAGAGAGGGAGAAAGACACTGCTCCCTTTCTGCTCTCATTTCTGTCACTCAGGGTTGATGGGAGGGAAGGAGAGAGAGAGGGAATAAAAAGAATGAACTAAGAGTGAGCAGAGGGGGCGGGGAGACTTAGCTTTAGAGCAAATAGCTGCTTCTTTTCCACCATTTTCTGCACAAAATGTCTGAAAATTCAGACAGCATGTGGGATTGTACCTTTTTTCATCCCACTACCACTCTGTTACCTTGGGTAAGTCATTTGCCCTTCTGGGCAGGCAGTCTCTCCCTTTGGCTGGGCTGCCAACAGCCAGGAGTGGTCAAGACATAGATGTGCAGGGCGTTAAAATGCTCCGCATCCTTTGGAGGCCTTTCAGAAGGTCATGAGCTTGATGCCACAGCTCTTATTGAAGGAATGCATCAATGCTTTCCAAACCCTAGCTTGTCACCTCGTGTGCAGAGAAGTCACTGCATCAGTGGGACTAAGAATGTTTTAAACAGGCTGGGACAGAGAAATTACCTTGAGCTCTGAGAAGTGCCGGTTTTGATTATAGTTGAGGACTCTGGGGACAAATATCTCTGCTTTTTTGTTTATCTGCTTTTGGATTCCAGCCAAAGACCCTCTACCCTGAGCTTAAAAATTTGGCTCTGAAGATTCAGCTCTTCTTTCTTACCAACAGATCAGAGCTGCCGTTAGCATCTAAGGATTTATGGCGACCATAGGCATTCTTGGGAATTTAAGTAAAGGAGAAGTATTTAAATTATGTGAAACTGGAAACTAGGAGACCCAAGTATTTATTTTGCATTTTTATTAAGCATTTAGTTTGAGTGTGAATTAGCCATTTGATTTCTGCCTTCCAGGGTCCTCTTTGGCATGGTCATAAATAGGCTCCATCTCATCTGTTTATTTTGACTGTTGTGAATTGGCAACATTAGTTCATAGGAGCTGTGATATTTGAATTCATGGAGCACCTGACTGGATTTGGGTGACAAGCCATGAAAAAGGAATTAGAGGAGTAATTGGACCAAGCTCTTTGGTTTCAGTTATCCAAATGGTCTATCAAGAATCTTTAAATTTTCCCAAATGACTTATTAGGATCACAGTTATCCATCCTTCACTTTAATGAGCACTAATGACCTAATGCTGAACTGGGTTATTGATCAGAGTCCTTATGACTTTGTTCATCATGAGTATCCAGTTAGAAGACACCTTGAGTGTTAACTGTCAAGAACCTACATATTTATTCTCTGCAATGTTGAGTATCAAATGCCCAGGTCAGAGTTCACGGCTGCCATAATTTTCCGTATATACGAAGGAGTGCCATTTGTCAAGGGGATGCATTTTTTTTCAGTGTTCAGAAGGTACATCTATATTTACAAGTGAAAGAACACTGCCGCAAAATAGGCAGGAAAACCTTAATTCTTTGAAGTCTCCAGGATATTTAATTCCTTAACTCCACTCAACAAATATTTATTGAGTGGCTGCTATTCCAGGCACTGTCCTAAGATCTGGGGTTGCAGTAGGAAACAAAGCAGATTAAAAAACAAACAAACAAACAACAACAACACAAAAAACTCTGTTCTTACGGAATTTATATGCTGGCAGTATATTCTGGCTAACTATTTTCTGGTGAACTAAAGAACAAATGTCCATGAGTCCTTCCATTCATTGGCCATCTTGCTTTTTTTTTTTTTTTTTTTACTTTTCATTATTTCGTAGGGCTGGGGATGGAACCCAGGGTCTTGTGAATGCTGGACCAAGTGCTCTACCACTGAGCTCTTCCCCCAGTCCTTTGGGCATCTTTTATGTACTATGTGTGGCACCTCTTTGGGAATTAAGGCTTCTAAAATTCCTCTCCCAATGTTTTTATGTTAGGCAGAGTTGAGAACATTCAGCTGAATCTCTGAAGATTGGAAGTCCCCAGTTAGATCACAAATGCAAAACATCTAATACTTTTGGCTGGTGCTAAAGAAAATGTAGATCAGGCTGAATCTATACTAATCTGGCTATCTCACAGCAGCGAGATTTGTGAGCAATTTCCTGCGGCTTGCTTTCTTTCTGAGTTTGTGCATCTCTCTCAAACTAGAAATACTTGAACCCAAAAAATGAACCCAACTTGAGATAATAACAATCTATATTTAGGCTCAGATCTTCTAAAATTTGGGAGGCATGGGATTCTTTGATTCTGTGTCCTTTCAGATAGTTGTTAATGTTTTTTCTCTTCATGAAAGTTTTAGCCATCATATTATGATGTGATGTGGGGATTCAATTTTGCAAGCAGTTATTGAGCTCTCAGGATACAAATGTGAAAGATAAACTTGACACATCTGCCAGTCTCTCACCTCCTGGGTAGGGGTGTTACATGGTAGATGGTTGAGAGGACAGCAGAGGCAGAGGCAGAGGCAGAGGCAGGGTGCTGTGAGGCAGAGACCTGAGTGGCACTACCCTTCTGTAGTGTGAGGGCATGGGACATAGGGATCCGGGGTTGGAGAGGGAACTTATAAAAGATTCAGAGGAAGTCAATCTTCAGTTCTTTACTGTGGAGTTTTGGCTTGACCCACATGCTGACCTCAAAAGGAAGAATTTATGTTATGTTTTATGTAGGTGGTAAGAATATGTATTGAGCTGGGCATAGTGGTGCGTGCCTTTATTCCCAGCAGCTTGGGAGGCTGAGGTAGAAGGAGTTTAAAGATAGTTTCAGCAACTTAGTAAGGCCCTAAACAACTCAGTGAGACCCTATCTCTAAATAAAATATTAAAAAGTGCTGGGGATTTGGTTCAGTGGTTAGGTGCCCCTGGGTTTAATGCCTAGTACCAAAAATAAAATAAAATAAAATACATACATAGACACACACACACACACACACACACACACACATATTTGGGTTAAGTTTGAGTGACATGGCTGTGATCACATGGCCGCTGAGCTCTAGAGCTGGGATTCACTTCCCATCTCTGCCTCCAGAGCTGGTCCTCTCACTGCTGTGCACACTGCCTCTCCTGGGTGTTGCATTCTCAAACTTAGCCTCTCTGTGGATATCTCAGGCTGTGTCTTGCCAGGGATTCCTCCATACTGAGCAGGGCCTGTGTTCACTAGGGGAAGCTGAGCCATTCCTCTTTGTCAGTGCTTGTTTTCCTGTTTATTCAGTGCAACCTCCTTCTTTCACCTCTCCTTCAGTAACTGGGTGCTATTTTGACTTCAGGCGTGTGTGCTCACTGATCTAATTTAGGCTTGCCTTGGTCAAGCCATTTTTGAGTCTAATTTTCTCATTTCCCCCATTTGCCCCCACTTGGGGAATAAGTATTAGGACAACAAAATTACAGATGAAAGCTGAAGCTGGTTTCCTCTATGGCATCCATCCCCAGGAGCTGAGTCGAGCTGAACTGATTTCACTCTGAACTGTCCTGTCTTCCATGGGGAGGTTGCAGTGACTGACATCTGCCTCTCCCAGACCCCAAAGCACAATCACAGCTCATTCTGTTTCCCAGTCTCCAAACACTGTCACGATGCCCCATCGCTGCAAGACTGCCCTCAATGCAGTTGTCTCTGTTTTAAGTGATGACGACCTTGCCCCAGCTGTCCCTGGAGGACTGCAGCTTGATGAGTAAGTCCTGAAACTTGCTGGATGCGTCTCACTGTTCCACATGCCTGTGTTGATTGGACAGACCCCAGAATGGGCCTCAGGACTTGGTTGGCCTCAAGTGTCCTGACCATCACTACTGGAAGTATCTCTCTGGTGATTATTTATCTTTCTGACTTGTATTTCCTTTTTCAGCAAATGAAAAGATTGAAGACATCAATGGCTGTCCGAAGAACAGATCGCAAATGGTGAGTGGTACATTATTAGTGAGCATTGGTGATATGTTAGCATGTTCTGCCTCTAAATGATACCGACCATCATGGAATGTATTCACCCCAGATGATTTACTCCAGAGGATGACATTAACATACAGACAGCCATTTCCAAGTAGCCATGTCCTGCTTCTTTGACATTTGCTGGCATTTATTAAAAACTAGCTGTGATTGTTATATAGATTGGGAGACAGCGAAAATGAAATATTGTCCTCCCTGTTAGACACAGATTATGCAGGACTGCTGCAAAGATGTACCTGTTTAGAACTTGAACTGTTTAAGACTCATTCTCCTTCCCCAAAGACCGGTAGCAATTTCCGCTTGAATTCTATGTTGAGGCTCAGATGAAGCAATGGTATCTTACAGATCATAATCAGGGCATGTGAATATGATTGCCTTTAAAGGTTAGAATGGTGTGAAGTCAGAACTGTGACAGCAAGTGTGAAATGTTCAGTCATATCTGGACCTTTCTCATTATGACCTTGACAGATGATGTTTTTTGCTGGTGTGATACATTTAAGCTATGATATTATAGTTAAGAAATAACTTTAATATCTCTTCTTTTCTTGTGCTACATATAATCTTTGAATTAAAATCCGTGGTCATTGTTGAGTTCAAAAAGCATTGAATTCTGGTGCTCCACGTGCTTAGTTTTTCACTTCCAAATACTTTGTCAGCCCAGATATTGACACAAAGAATGTCTGTTGTTGGAGTCTGTTAAGAGGATGCCAATAATTGCTTAAAACCTGAAGGTGGCAAGGTATCTTTTTTTTTTTGCTGGACATTCATTAGCTTCCAGAAATTTAAAAAGAGCCTAATTCATTCCTCTAACCTACCCCACCCTTTTTGGGCAGGTCTTATTTCAGGAGATGTCAAAGCCATTGGCATTCCTTGGGTTCACTGGTTAATTTTTTGAATTGTTATCCCAGAGAGTTGGGCAAGTGGGCAACCTTTTCAGACAACCCCTTTCCATACACAAAAGCAGTTGTATTACAGAAGTTCATGGGCAGGGCAAGTCGTTTTCCAGGTTACATTCTGTTCTGAAACAAGTATTTTTCTCTTTTTCATTGTCTTTCCTTCCTTCCTTCCTTCCTTCCTTCCTCCTCCTCCTCCTCCTCCTCCTCCTCCTCCTCCCCCTCCTCCTCTTCCTCCCCCCTCCTCCTCCTCCTCCTCTTCCTCCTCCTCCTCCTCCTCCTCCTCCTTCTTCTTCTTTTTGTTGTTGTTGTTGTTCTATTGGAGGTATTGTTTCTTTTTGTTTGATCCAGAGACCAACCATTTCTTACATAGGAAAGTCCCCAGGCAGGCATCTCATGGCTGCTTTGACTTTTGGAAAAGCTTGGCTGCTATTTTTGCTAGAGCTACTGCAGCTGTCTGGTGTATTAATAATTGAGAAAATTTGGGCAGTAGAAGACTTAATTTTAGTGCAAGCATCTTACACATGCAGCAATAGCTTCACATGAAAGAGACACATTATTTCCCTGTAGAAGATACCAACACATTTGTCCCAGCCTATTACAATGCACACGTAGAACTGACATTTAAAGGTGGTTAACATTTTATTCTGTTTGGAGCATTTTATATTTTCTGTACCTTCTATTGGAGGAGTGGCTTGCTGTTAAAGTCCACTTTCACGTTTATAAAATATTGTCATCTTAGATTCTTCCATGCAAATTTAGTTCTATATGCAAATATATACTTTATAAATAGTGCTATGGCACCAATGCAGTTTTGTGGTTTCTCCATGACTCTTTTAGCATTGTTCTCTCTCTCTCTCTCTCCCCCTCCCCCCCACCCCGTGTGTGTGTGTGTGTGTGTGTATGATGTGTTTTTAGAACACAGGAATATAAAATCCTATAATTGTCAGTGATAATTAGTTCCAGCTTGTGGGCGGGGAGGCAGACACAATTTTGTGGTAAACCTAGCAGAGAATAATTCAGCACACAATATGTGAGTCCAGAAAATGTAAGAACTTCCACCATAGTCATTCCATTCTGTAGGAAATGAGAGAGATGATGATAAGGACAACAGGCCCATTGTCCTCTCCCCTCCATCACAAAACAAGGACAAATGCATAAGGCAGAACTCACTGCTTCATGTAGCAGGTGCTCATAGACAGGCATGGGTGTTGCTCTAGCTAGCAGGACACCTGCATGCACACACACATGAGCTCATACAGAGTTCAACCATTTCTACTCATGGGAAGTGTAATTTGAGAATATGGCACAGCACACCATTTCTAGATTCCTAAGATGTTGATCTTCCCATTAAGCTTTATTTAGTGTGACCCAAGGATAAACATTTGCTGTTGTTGTTTGCTAAATATTGCCTATTTGGAGGAGAGCATCATTTTGGTGGAAGAAAGATAAGGCACAATAAGATGAGAACTTGGGGAGCACGTCCTATCGGGAGGGCAGCTACCTCCCCCCAAATGATCAGCATAGAATTGATTCATCACTGCCCAGGAAAACAGAATCACAGTGATTTGAGAGGCTAAGGCAGGACATTGCAAGTTTGAGGTCAGCCTCAGCAGCTTAGCAAGATCCTGTCTCAAAATAAAAACCAAAGTGAATGGGAATGTAGCTCAGTGGTAGAGTACCCCTGAGTTCAACCCCAGCATCACCCGCCAAAAAAAATGGAAAAAAAATGATAACTGATAGAACAGTTTCCAGGAGCCTTTAATAATGGAACCAAAGAAAAGCAACTTTGTTTCAGAGCACGTGTCTAATGCATGCTGTTCAAACTTTTAAGGGCCTAAATCATTTCATTAGTAAGTTGATGGGAGGAGCCTGAGCGAGCACTGGCGGGAGGGTACATTTCCTCCCTGGTTCACTGCTCCTCCCCCACTAGGCTGCCCAGGAGCCCAGTCTTTGCTCTATCCATGCCCAGGCATGCTTTGAGTCCTGTGCTCCTCCCACAGGACAGGGAAGTGAAAGCAGACACAGGAATAGGGCTTGAGAACTGGGGAGGGGGGGGGGGGCAGCTGCCCCTAAACGCAAGGGGAATTGCATTGCATATTGTTAGCCTGTCAGCTGGCAGTCACCAAGTGCCTAGGGATGCCAGGCACTGGGCTATGTCAGGTGAATACACGGGTAACAAGATGTGAATCCTGCCATTGAGGATTTCACATGAGTGGGCAACAGACCAGAGGACAGTTAGAGCAATAGAATTTTCCAGCTGTGTTTCCAGCACAGACACCTGTATATGGCATGTTGGGGGCCTCTTCTACCCTAGGACATGCAGGAGCTTAAGAATAACTTCTAAGGATTGAATCTTTAAAGGAAAGAAGGGTCAGCATAGGGGATGGTGAGTAGAAGATTCCAAGCAGAGATAGTGGGTATGAAACCCACATCTGCAGACTCTGTTTACCTGAGGATGGCATGGATCCTGCAGAGGGCAGTTTTTTGAACATTTGTTCATTGATCCTTCCAAATTGCCATGAGCTAAATCTGGTGAGGCCCTTTTAGCTTAGCTTCCCAGAAATATCAGCCTTTGCCCTACTGTGCTTAGGGTGATGGGTGGGGCATGGAAGAGCCCAGGGTACAACAGACATGACTATCTTCAGGCCTTGGACAAGACCCTGCATTCTTCGTCAGTCCCCAGATTACTGCATCTGGGGGAGCAATCCCCAGTGGATCCCAGGGCAAAGCTTTCTAAAGAAAGAAATCCAAGTCCTTCAACTTGTGTGGATGAAAGTTCAACCACGTGATCTGGAAAATAAAAATGCTGCCCAGTTGGAAGTGGTTGTTAATATCTATCATGTCAGCACTGACATTCATTTGCAGGGCTCTTTAAAGCAAGCCCTTTGATGTTCGTGAGTACATTTGGTCCTTTTGATTCTGCTGAAGCTCGGGTGCTGGGTCACAGCATGCTGTCCCCATGTCTCTAACCTGATGCTTGTCCATACACATCCATGACCTCTTAGCACCCAGATCTTGGGCCTTGTAAGATGGACCTGTACCGTGACCAGAGAGGGAACGTTAGCAACAAGCTAATGGCCTGAGTCTTTTAATGGAGTCAGTTGCCCTGTTTCAATCTGACTTCCATGCTTTTGGGGCCAAATCCATGAAGATGGAGCTTTAGAAATAACACTCCTCACCCCACCCCTTCTCCCCCATCAAATCCATCCACTTGGCCCTTAAAAAAAAGTTTGTGTGTGTGCGTCAGAGCTGGTTAAAATATTTGGTCTGTGTAATATTGCCATAGCAACCGAGGGGCATCTCTTTGGCTTTCGAGTGGTTTGTTCAGCAGAATTGTGTGTTAGTTTAGAAGGAAAAACATTGCCTGGAGCTCAGCCAGGGGGTGCTGGGCCGCCACTGTGGAGCTGCTGCTGGCCTTGAACTCAATGTGCTCTGAGATGCTGGCCATGCTGGCTCACTGTGGAGCCCTGGAATAGCCGGCCACAGGGGACGGTTTTCTTTTTTAATCATTATTATTTTAAGCAGTGTGGCTTTCTGTCCTTGATAGGGGAGGTTAAAAAGTTGGACCTGCTTGCCCTTTCAGCCGAAGGCACTAAGCCTGCCTTCCCCTCCAGTGGGTAGGCGGTGTCAGGCTGGGCCCTCCCACCCCACTCTGCTCTCTGGAGAGTCCTCCTGCCTCTTTCTCCAGTGGACCTAGTGAGAGCCAGCCTGGCCAGGCTTGAGTTCCTTCTCTGCTGCTTTGTTGGTTTGAGCTAATTATTTAACCTCTTGAAGCCTCGGATTTCCTGTTCTATGAAGTGGCAGTGATAAACATACCTCATAAAGTCCTAGGACTAACAAAGTCATAAAAATGATAGTGGATAATAATAATTTAAATGGTAAAATGTAAGTGTTTGTTTTGTGCCAGGTGCTGTTCTGAGTGCTGTACCTGGTTCATTCTCCCAACCGCCCTTTGGGGCAGGTGTTCTCATGCTCCTGGTATATGCTCAGCATTTGATAAATGGCAGTTTTGATGCTGCTGCTGCTGCTGCTGCTGCTGCTGGTGATGAAGAAATTTGT